GGCCGCCAGCGGGTCCCCGGGACAGCGGCCCAGCTGGCGGTAGTAGTCCCCCGTGCTGGGCTGCTTGTTGAAGGCGCGGGGCTTGCGGCCCGAGTCCTGCCTCCGCAGCCCGTTGCAGTCGCGGGGCCTCTGCCGGGAAACAGCGGGAGGGCAGCCTCAGCCTCCGGCCGTGAAGCCCCCACGCCCCTTCTCCCGGCTGCGGTCAGCGGCAGCCTCGACCCTCCCGTCCTCAGAGCGCTCGGGAGGGTCTGGGGCCTCGGTGTCAGGGCAGGCTCCGGCCAGGCCGGCCGTCGAAAGGGCTTCTGGGCGCCTGCCAGGGGGCACGGGCCCTCACTGAGGCTAGGAGGGGCGGGCCCAGGGGCGGGGTGGCCCCGACCGGACGCCAGGGGGAGCCGCAGAAGGGGCAGCACCGGCGCAGCCGACCTCAGGTCTCAGCCGCACCCCACTCCCCACAGACAGACCATCCCAGGGGTCCTCCGACCCCTCTCCGGGGGTTCCGGTCCCCAGGGAGCCCTCTCCGCCTGTCCTTGCCCAGGGCCCTCAGCCGGCCTGCTGGGGCCGGGGCTGCGCCTACCTGCGACAGTGCCGGCGGCCCCCCGCTGTGCACCTGGCCGCGGGGGCGGCAGGACCCGACACCTCGCTACCTGATCCTGCCTCTCGGGTTACAGCCGGCCCGCGCCGCCCACGAGCTCCGTAGCCTGACATCACCCAGGGCCCGCCAATCCCGGGTGGACCCCCGCCCCCACCAGCTGGGGGTGCCACCGCTCGCGCACCTGGCGCCCCGCCGCGACCGCGCCCAGGCTTTCTGCCTGCGGGGCTTTCTGCCTGCGGGGCGCTCGGCGCCCTTCCTCCGCTTTCCCCTCTCCACTCCCCCGCCCCCAGCCGCAGAAGGCAGATTTCAGGCCTGAGGGGCTAGTGGAACCCCCCACGCTGGCCCCCTGGTTCCGGGTCACGCCCGCGCTTCCCCTCCCGCATCTGGAAACCATTGCGTCCGCGTAAGCGACACCGCCACCGGCCCGGGCCTCGGGTTTCAGGGCTCAGGTGACAGCTGCGCCGCCGGAGGCTGAGCTCCCCCAGCCCCACGTCCCCTCGCAGCGCCCGCCCGGAGGGCCCAGGCTGAGGCCGGGCACCCCGCGGGGCTGCCCCTGCCCCTGCCCAGGCCAGCGTCCCGGCGGTGGCCCCGACCCTCCACGCCCCACCGGGCCTGGTTCAAGTTGCAGGCAACGCGACACCCGGGGTTTGCTTTCTGGGCCAGCTCGCCCCTCAAGCCCCTGCCGCCCCGGGCGCGGGTGCCCCAAGGCAGGCAAGCCAGTGCCCGTCCAGCGGGCCAGGGGCCGGTCTCAGAGAGCCGGTGTGCAGCGCCAGCCCGGCCTGCCGGCAGCTCGCAGCGAGAGCGAGGGGGTGGGGGGCCTTGCGCAGGGACTGGGCTCGGGCTCCGCGGAGGGACGCGGCTCGGCAGGCCCCGCCCACCTGGCTGGGCAGTTGCCGGCCTTAGGCCCGGCGGGGCAGGCGGGGCCCAGAGATGGAGGGGAGCCCTCTGAAAGCAGGTCTGGGGTGGAGTGAAGGGGGGCGGGAGTGCGTCTCCCCCCGCCTGGTGGCCTGCGCGTCTGGGCCACTGGAGGCCTGTTCTGCTGGGCCCCCTGGCTTATCTGGGGCTTAGGAGATCCTGTCAGGTCGCCGCCCCCTTCCCAACCACCCGCCTCAGCCACCCGCCTCAGGTGGGCAGTGCCTGGGGCTCCCGGCTCAGGACGCACCGCCCACCCCGAAGCAGGCAGACTCTGCCCCCACCCCAGCGCCCACTGCCAAGAGGAGCCAAGCCCGCCAGGCGCCGCCCAGCGCTTTCTCACCTGCCCCTGCTCTGCGTCCCCACTGTCAGGGCCACACCACCCTCAGCTCCCGCTGTGCCCACTGTCAGGGCCACACCACCCTCAGCTCCCGCTGTGCCCACTGTCAGGGCCAC